ACCATGGGATAACACAGGTACACCTTACTCTTGTACCATTGGATATTAACTGACACCCTACTCTTGTACCATGGGATAACACAGACACCCTACTCTTGTACCATGGAATAACACAGACACCCTACTCTTGTACCATGGGATAATACAGGTACACCTTACTTTTGTACCATGGAATAACACAGACGCCCTACTCTTGTACCATGGGATAACACAGACACCTTACTCTCATAACATGGGATAAAACCGACACTCTACTCTCGAACCATCATCGTAATCCGTCTATCTCATTATCAACATCATCATCATCATCATCATCATCTTGTTCTTGTTCTCATTCTTTTTGGCTTCTTTTTCTTCTTGCTCTTCTCCTTTTCTCCTTTTATCATAGCATCAGCACTCAGAATGAAAATGTAAACTTAATAACAACCTCTTCAAATTTAACTCTATCTGATTTCTGAGAGCAAACATCTCATAAATTCACAAAAAGGATTACATATATTGCTTGTTCCCAGCCAATTTCTAAACGTTTTCTATGTTTTAAGATAAACGAATTTACTTGACGGCTACGTGGTTTCAGAGCTTTAATCATTTAATCATCTAACAATATCTTCTTTTACTTTTACTTGTTCGAAATCTAGATATAATTGTGATACAAAACGTTACTGTATAAAGAAAAAAGCGACAAATCTAGCAACGGTATAACTTACCCGGTAGCCGGTGTTACTTGACTGAATGAATTTACATTAAGGCGTTTCCCTACATATATACTTATACTTATTTATTCAAAAAGCGTGCTTAAGGTCGAGATAAAAGAATCCTATTATTCTATTGTGTTCCTTTGTTCCAAAGTATTTTCGTAAACGAAACAATCTATATGTGGAAAAGTGTATTTTTAACCATAGAAAAGCTTGGTTCAGGAATCCAAAAATCATTTCTTCAGTCAGCGGGAGAGTCTAAGTCTGATTGACTAGATAGGATTTGTTCAGATTAAAAAAAAAAGATTTTATAGACTATATTATCAATCAAAAATATCGCCCAATAACTGTGTAGATAAACCAGTAAAATGCACCCACAAGCATTGCTGTAACCTCATCCCTAAGAAAGTTCTTATGATAGTTTACAATGATTGGCATGCATATTTTACTTCAGTGTACTTGTAGAAGCCCGGGCATGGGTCAATGCCAAAGGTGCCAAAACCAACAGTAAAAGAACAGGACTGCTTCCCTTCACACAGCTCTTTCACCTTGATTAGCGAACTGGCTTCGTCTCCACAGGGCACTTTCATAAGACGATGAAGGCAGACGTCTTTGGAAGAGCGACCATAAAGGGCCCATTTAATACGAAGAAGGTTCCCATTTGGGCACGACATGCTCAAGACACCACCCTCGCACGCTGTTGCTACTAGTATCACTGTAAACAGAACAAACAGATATTAAGAAATTCAGATACTGTCTGTCTTACTTTCTTTCTGTCTGTCCGTTTGTCTGTCCGTCTGTCTGTCCGTCTGTCTGTCTGTCTGTCTGTCTGTGTGTCTGTGTGTCTGTGTGTCTGTGTGTCTGTGTGTCTGTGTGTTTGTGTGTCTGTGTGTCTGTGTGTCTGTGTGTCTGTGTGTCTGTGTGTCTGTGTGTCTGTGTGTCTGTGTGTCTGTGTGTCTGTGTGTCTGNTCTGTGTGTCTGTGTGTCTGTGTGTCTGTGTGTCTGTGTGTCTGTGTGTCTGTGTGTCTGTGTGTCTGTCTTATTGTTTTTATTCAATCCAAAAAGTTCATTGTTTCGAAGATTTTTCATTCCGGATTCTCCGGAGGCTATTTCGGGATTTGATCTGTGGGTTAGCCGTGCCCTGACTTAGATCAGCCCAGAGGTTCAATTTCAAGGTTCAATCTGTGAGTTAGTCGTGCCCTGAATTAATTAGATCAGCCGAGAGCGGGTTCTTTCAGGGTTTGATCTGTGAGTTATAGTCGTCGTGTTCTGACTTTAATCGGCTCAGATGTTGTTGATCAGTCCAGAGTGGTTTTGTTTTTGTAATGGCTAAGTTATCTAGGACACAGGAGAAAGGATGAAATGGCACCATAATAATAATAACATTATTATTAACCTTCTTCGTTACAACTTGGTCCAGTAAAGCCACTTGGGCACAAGCAGTTGAATCCTGATCYTTCTCCGATGAAGATTGCTTGACAAGTACCGTTGTCAGGACACGGCTTGCTCTGACATGCGTTCTGTTTGAAGAACCAAAAAGAATGAAAGGAAGAAAGAAAGAAAGAAGGAAGGAAGGAAGGAAGGAAGGAAGGAAGGAAGATGGAAATAGTAGAGGGAATGAAACACTAAAAGAGCAAGCCACTAGCGAGAGAGGATTATAAAAAAGGGAGATCAGTTAATCTTTATATGATGTCACATAAAAATTTGCCCCTCCCCACCCTAGGTGACAAATAATGACCGATCCCTTATTACTTTAATCTTAAGTGGGTTCCCTGTATTTACTTACCTTTGTGCTAACATGAATATTACCAGTCTTCCTTATAAGGTCATTAGGGTGTTTAATTTGATCAGAATCATTGATGTCGCAAACGGCATTTTGCTCGTGATAGTTGTACGACATACAGGAATCGCTGACGTAGCACTTCACTTGACACGTGGACTTTGTTTTACAGGCGAAGGTCTCGATCACGTGGTTGGCAAGATAGCTGTCAGCTTTAACGGGAAGAAAATTCACGATCTTGCATCCTTTGGCTGCGTGTAAAATATTAATAATCAATAATTGGTAGACCAAGATGCAAAGTGGCGTAGCGGTATTAACTCTCACCTCTGGAGTTTCGGGTTCAGACTCGTACCCGGCCTACAACTTTTTTCACTTTTTTTACATTTTTTCCACGCTTTTTTTTTTTTTTTTCGCGCGGTGTCACTAAATCCTTCCCATCAACCACAGCGCGGTGAGATCAACAAGACAAGAGAAGCGACTGGGAACGAGTATGTTTCGGGTTCGAGTCTTGGACTTAATTAAGGTTGAAATTAAGGTTGCCAGTGCCTTAACTATGCTTTTAGGAATGCAGACGCAAGGTTTTTTAAGTCCAAAATGGAAATTGCCTTAATTACTTTTTAATTGTCACGTGTTTGGTCACTTTYGTCTTTTTTAGCGATTTTCTTTTATCTGAATTCTATCCCCAGATACAAACTTATGTACACCAGTTTCAAAAAGGTTGTCGTCGCCAAAGGCGATATGGAATAGGTCATTCTACATGGAAATGGTTTCGTTGAATACAAAGAACATTGAATCAGTCTCAACATTAAGGTCCATGTTCCTGACGAGAATAAGAAGCAGAAACACAAGTCATTCCATCTATTCTTGGATCTTGGAATGACCTATCTCCTATTGCTTTTCGCCTATTGCCTATCGACTATCACCTTTGGTGATGACAACTATATTCGACATAGGTATATTTTAAGAAATAGAACAAGTTTCTTTGATCCAAACATGTCGTTTCACTGCTGACTAACAGACCAAATAGGTATATACTGTGATTTCCCGTGCGTTTTCATTCCTCTTAAAACATTTCATTGTTAAACTGAATTTAAAACTTTTCATTCTTACTGAATTTTATCGCTTGTACAGTGTTTATTTTCTATATTTTTGTTAATCTCCAAAATTATTTTAAAAAATTATTCCAAGTTACGGAAACACTTTCATGGCGTCAACTACACTGCGCCTACTATGAATTGCTGGTGAATCGTCAGTCAATTCAGGTCTACCGAAAAATCGTACGATTCTCGTCCACAAATCGCGTTTAAATGTAATTATTAGATATATTGGAAAAAATTCAGTTTTCTCGATTGAATTCATTTATGGTATTTCTCTTGTATTTTCCTGCTATCCTTGCATCCATTTCGTTTTTTGAATCGTAAAATTTGAATTCTAAAGAATGATTGAACTGTAAATTTGAATTTCTGAAAAAGTTAACTTTAATTCTTGTGTATTTGCGATTTTGAAGTTGAAAGGAAGTGCGCCAAAAATGGTAGCGAATGAATGCGAGAACTGCGGGATAGAATCCCATGAGATTTGATTTTCTCCGTTTTCTTTCTTTCTTTTTCTTTTTCTTTATTCTTTTTTTCTTTCTTTCTTTCTTTTTTTTCTCTTTTTTTCTTTTTTTTTCTTTTCTTTTCTTTTTTTCTTTTCATTTTCCTTTTTGAAAAATCAGTTGCTAGGAACAACCTCAGTCGTTCGTATTTTGTTTAGCAGTTAGCATAATTCACTTTAACAAAAACTATCTTAATGGAATTTTGCCTCTCTCTCTCCTTGAGATTTTAGCATACTTTCAAGCAAAACAAATCCCTACCTTTGGTCCGTGCGACTAAGGCATACCACAAAAACAAAGCAAAGACTTTGGTTAAAGATACCAAGTAAACTCTCATCTTTCTCGACGTATTTTAACGGTGTTTATAATCGTAGTCTGCGTACAGCGAGTTAACTCATTGGCATAAATAATTTGAAAACGGTAAATTTTTAATACTTTTCTGTTGACTTTTCAGAAAACCAAAATTGGTCTCGCGCAATTATCGTTTTAAATAATTTAGGAGCTAAAATCTTATTGCGGCCGTTTTTCTACGGTTTGTGGAAAAAATTACTATAAAAAAGAAATTAGTATACTTTGAAATGGCTTAAAAGGCTAAAATTCCGATCTTAGGTGACAAATTTTATGAGTAGAATTGCCAATGACTATATTTTGACCAAAGCAGTAGGTTTTAATTTACAGTGTTTTAAAATTAATTTTAATGTAGTTAGTGGTGACCAATGTAATGCGCTGCTGACTCATTACGAAACATTTCACTAATCGCAATGCTTATACGCGCTGATTCGATGTGGAATTAAATATTTTTGTTTTTCTAGTGTTTTTACATGCATTGTCCCGTTAAATACGCAGCCCGTAAAGTCCTCCACTGGTTGTAAATGTAAAGCGCAATGAGATATTTGAAATGCGCTATAGAAGTACCCCATTATTTTATTAATACGACCATTTTTATAGTCAAGGTGATTTTGACATGGATTTTTTTCAAAGACGGAATGAAGATAAAAGACTATCTTTTTACATCCCTATAGTGGATACTTTTTAAATGAAAAAACGTCTTTGAAGTTATTTAACTGACTAAATAAACGAAATTTCGAGGTTTTTCGCGCATTTTAGGCTTCTCAAAAGTTAAGGACTTGGCTCTTCAAAACTGCCAACCATTTCTTAACACATTGTTTGATATGTTAATTCTTTCAATGCAAAGGATTGTAACTCTAGTATCTGATTTTACTCAATTCTATTGTAATGCAGTATAGCCAAATGCGCTGTATGAGCGCCTATATTTTAAGTGCCACAAAAACAGTCCTTGCTTCGTAGTTCTGTGTCGAGGAAAGACAAACATGTTAAGCAGAGGACAGTCACTTAAAGTTTATTTACAAAGATAGAATACTTTATATATAAATCGATTATATGTAATAGACCTCGTTTTAATCGAGAAATTGTGTCGAGGATTAAACCAAGCTCCTCTAGAACACAGTCGACACTCAGTCTCAATCGGCAAACTGCGCGCGCTTATGGTTTAACAATGTAGCAACTCGTCAAACATGCATGCCAACTCCATTCTATTCTTCTTCTTGTCTACAAAAGCAGTAATTCATTTAATGTGATGAAGCAACTCGTTTCTAATTTGCAGCAACTTGTTTCTCATTTGCAGCAACGCGTCTAACTTGCTGTATGTCCCTTACGCATGGGCCACCATGGAATAGAGGTATTTAAACTTAGTTCAGGTAACCAGAGATATTGTATCAAGCAATAAAACGACGGATATGAACCAGGGCTCTAGCTTAAGCATAAATTTCTGCTGTTGAATAAAATTCAATGATTGTCTCATACGACAGAAAACTAGTTGCTTCATTTTAGTTAGAAGTAGAGTGCTTATCTTTATTTGTTTAAACTGAGTTCCCAATCGCGTTCAAGCAATCCAAGGAAGTTTATTAAGCAAAGAAAGTCAAGGAATAAAGCTTCAAACCTTATCATTTTTCTCTTTGCATTTTTCTTCAGGCTATAATATAAGATACTTTTAAAAAACGCCAACAAGAGGACAAGCTTACTGCAAGACTCAACTCCGTCCTCTATCCTGTTAATTTACAACTCCACCAATGCATATATTTGATAAGCTTACCTTATTGGGAAGTGAGCACAGATTACTTTTTAATRATTTTTCCTCCATTTAAAGCCTTAACATGTCGATAATAAATATCAAAACTTCCAGTAATTATAGAGAAGTAAACTTGAAATTTTCCACCATCTTGATTTTGCTTAGACCTGGCCTTCACAACGTTTAAATCCATAGGGATCCCGCGAACGACAATATCAGTTTTGTTATACATTTCGGGAAAATGAAAAGCGCGTTAAAGTAGAAGTTGAGTTAAGCCTGAGAGGGGACTTGTCGTAACCCATGCAGACAGTGATTGCGGTAATATAGAGAGTAGGCTCTTTAGAAGAAAAAGAAAAAATAAGAGTGCATTGTAGCCAAGTGAATAACCATTGGGTAACCTGCTAAGTGAAGCTATTTCCTGTCAGGTTCTTCCCATAGCTTTTTATTGGCACTGCATTGCCAACTAGACCCAATTTTTTCCTCAGCCGCGAAATGGCTATGGCTTAAAACTTATATATATCAATCCTTAAATTTCGTAGTTCAATGCATGGTGATTCGGTATGGAGCACGAAAAAAGTATCGAACGTGACCTTAGCCGATGGCGGGAAAAATTTTTTTTTCCAGCAAGCTGACAACAATATGTATTAGAAGCTTGATTTTAATGTCTTCCTCTCTCTGATATCAAAAAAAGAAGAAAAGAAAAGAAAAGAAAAAAAAAAGAAAAAAAAAAAAAAAAAAAAAAAAAAAAAAAAAAAAAAAAAAAAAAAGGAAAAAAAATTAAATCAAATAATTTTACAGCAAGTTCCCCTTAGCCCAAGCAGGAAGTCACGTGATTCCCATGTGTCAGCATTTTTTTTGAATAATTTATGTTAAATTTGTGGTTAATATTTTAGCTGTATTTATTTTATAAGAACAATATGTTTCGATTTAACAACACTGGATTTAAAAATAGGGGAAAAAAATTTGAAAAAAATCGAGTGTTTATGAAACATTTCAGAAGGCTTGGGACGAGTCAGGCATTTTTACGCATGTCTGCCATTTATGCAAATTACCAGACAATTCATCCCCACTCCTCTCCCGTGGGTCACACATTATTTAATCTTCCGCTTTTTATTGAGAGCGGAGAGAGTTATTGCTGACTACGGTTTCTATTTTTGGTGCAATTGGGCAATTCCCGAATTATTCAGCCCTTATAATGGGCGAAGGCTAAAAACTTCCTTTAAGATCACTCGTCGACGAGAACAGAGTCAAAAATGGTGGTCGGTGAATCAAATGGCGGGTTCTCTATCGAAAATGAAGTTGTTATTTTAGTCGAAGGGACCGCCAACCTCCTTCCTTACTTCGAAATCCTCCGTAAAGACTATCTTGACCCAGTCATAGAGTAAGTACAACATTTATATAGTTTATTTCACAGTTATCTTCCGAAGTAAAACAAAGCCTGTTTTTATTTTGAAGGCTTCGTTTGTTGAAATTCGTTTACGTTTTCTGCTCGAAATTCAGTCTAAATTCTGCTCGTATTTCTTATTTGTTTCGGTTTTTTGTTGTCTTTTTAGAGCATAACGTTGAAGGTATAGTTTCATTATGTTGAAGTTTACTTATCAGACGTTTATTTGTTCTATTTGTAGCGATATAATAAGGCTTTAGGGTAAACGATAAGCTGAACTCGTACAACAATAAAGCTGAGATATTAAGAAAAATGTCGTAGGATTCTTAGAATTGGGAATAAATAAGATTGAATTTAAGTAAAATAATTTTCTGTAAAAGAAAGGGGGATCAGAATCTCGAATATTCTCGTTTTCATAGATTGAACACACATATATTGTTTGGAATTTTCAGTCGAAAACGCATAATTTTTTGAATACTTATATTGATACTGTGGTTTACGCGCGAAAAAAACTTAGATAAGTAAGTTATTTTAAAAAATTGAGACTTGTCATTATATTCAGATTAAAACAATTTTTTCAGTATTACTTGACACAGATTAACCACAGACAAGTAAACTTACTGTCTTATACGCATTATGCGTATTCTAGCCTTTAAAAAACTAGTTTCGTTGATACAACCTCTTCAGTTTGGCTAACGAAACTAGTTTTGAAAGGCTAAAATACACATAATGCGTATAAGACAATAATATTAAGAAAGTGAGAATTCACTAGTTTAAATTATGACTGTTGTTTCAAAGTCTATTGAGGCTTCAATAAAGAATATCACTTGAGGAAGTCATCTATTAAATCAGATGGGAAATTTGTAGATTGGAAATTTCTGAAAAATAATTGCTACCAAATTTCTAGACCTATTAAACTACAATAAATGTATACATATATTTTGCTAGAGGTTTTTGTTAGTATATTAAACAATTAGACCCATTAGGCTGAAGGCTGATTGGGCTATTGACTTGTAGCGACCATGAGGGCGAGAGGCCTAATTGATTTAGAGTAAACCTACTTGTTGGTCTTATTAACTGGATGCCAACAATTTTGAAATTAGGTTGAAATAATTTATCTTTCATATTGTTTTAGTTTTCAGAAACTGAAACTTTTCGCTACTAGTGGTCTATCACTGATAGACCTAGTAGCTCAGCCACGCATTTAGAGTGCATAATTTGATAGGTTTTTACTAAATACAGCCAATCAGAATGCGGGAAAGCTGTTGTATATTTGTTAGTAATTCACTCTTCCTTCCCATCATGTTCTGTGCATTGAATCTACACATTAAATTATACAAGTAGCGCATGGGATATTCCATGGCATATGTACCACTTGAAAGCTATGTATAACTAGCATACACAAAGTAATAGCTGTACCAGCTACTCTACGCTCGGCAACAATAGTGCTAATTAAAAAATAGAGAACAATGGAATTTGCATGAAATTGTGCTATTTAGTATTACTAATGTGTCACGGTTATATTGTTTGCACTCTATTATATCATCTTTAATAAAATTTTTGTTGCTCACTGGTGTTAGGATTTTGAATGGTGGTCCCTTGCAAGAAAGCTCCTGTTTTTTTGGTGATGAGGTTAGTTTATAATATAATAAACACATGTAGCAGCAATAAGGTTATAAACGTTGTGCACCAGGGCTTGAAAAGCACCAAAGGTCAATTATGCACAGAAAAGAAATCATAACTGATGGTAGGGAAAAATTATAAATGAAATAAATTGTGCGACATAGGAAATAAAGACAGCTAGCTAGGCTTATGGTATTTGACTAGTTGACAAGATCGATCCATCGAGTGTTCTTTTGAAAATATATTACAGTGGGACTACTATAACCAGGGCCACTTATACATTGAGAATAAAATCATGTAATAAAAACAATGTGCTCCAAATTTGAGTAGTGGAGCCAATCAAAAAGCAGCAGAAAACAATAGCCTTTTGACATATCTTTTTATTCCCAAGAGAAAGTGACGATGGCTATCTAGTTGTTTACACGTTAAACATCAGGGTCAAAAATATTATTTCCATGCAGTCTACGTTTCTGCTCCACCACCCCAAGTTTGAATGCATTGTTTTCATGACCATTTTCATTTTGCATATTAATTGGTTTGCTTGTCTAATCTTGTYTCACTGGTGTAACTGGCTCCGGTTACAGTATATAATAATGATAATAATAATAATAATAATGATGATAATTATTCAATGAATTTCTATAGCGTTATATATTACACTCTATAATGCTTTACAATGAATTTTCAAACATATAGAAATATATATGTGCATTGCATATAGAAACCCTTGCACTCTGTCCGAGCTGGCCCATCAGAGCCCCAAACCGTGGCTWAACTGCTAAATACATGTAGTCATACTGTAAATGAGTGGACAATATGAAAGGTTGTGGGTCCAAATCCCATCAGAAACTCTAAAATTTAAATATTGTGTGGATAATTTATTGTCTCTCTTTACCAGTACGGACAGAATCAGTATTGTCTCATAATCTATGGCACCAAGGGTTCTCACTTTGAAGATGCTGTACAACTTGTAAAATATACCAGAAATGTTCATGACTTTGTAAAGTCAATTGATGACATAAGGTATGTGTCATGTATCACCATGTTCCATACAATGTACATTGGTTCACTGGTCAAATACAAAGCATTCAGTTGAGGCTACAAGGTAGTTAGGAAGAAATATTCATATTTGAATCTTGTAGCCTCTTAATGCGTTAAATGCTTTAAATGTGTTTGACCTATGAACAGATTGTATGGAAAGTGCTGAATACATTCTTCTACCTGTGGTGTAAATTATTATTTCATTTATCATTCAAATATTTTTTCTGTCGTTTTGATTGGCAGAGATAACTGCAAACAACTGCATACAAATAATAATCTGCTCATGTGTATTATGGTGCAAAACCATTTTGCTGCTTACTGTATAATAGTGTGCTCATAATGCAGTAATGTTTCATTTATCAATAGCAGATCCAGGGGGGCAAAGGGGGGCTGAAGCCCCCCCTTCAGCAGAAAAAAACAATGCTTTTTTATATTGTTTTCTGTTGTGTTGACGGAAGAAACTCAATTAGCCCCCCCTAAACTCAATTAGCCCCCCCCTAAAATTTTGGCTGGATCTGCCCTTGTTTATCAACATGGCTCGCTTCCTGTGACTTGGTATGTTTGATAGATAGCAAAGACAACCAAATCATGAAAGAAAACAGAATGATATAAATGATACATAAAACAATTATTGAACTTGGTTGTCACCAAAGCATCTCAGAAATTGTCTATTTTGGTGTGACTTTGTCTGCAGTTGACTATAGCCATTAAAATCATCTTTAGTCCTGCCGTTCATGTCTGCATGTTTTTGCTGTTTTAGGTTCAGCGGAGGTGGAGGACAAGAGGGCAGCTTACTTGCTGAAGGTTTAGGTTTTGCTTTACAGGTATTATATTGTTCCATTTTGTTTGATAGCACAACTTATTGCCGGCCAGTGCAAATTTATATTTATCAACCACAGTATAGTGCTATATTACTGTAGATGAATCCATCTTTAAAAGCAATCGGAGTTATGAGCATTGGTTATCTTACTGCGATCATTTCTAAATATTTATGCAAACTCAGTAGTTGCTAGTTTTCAAGTGCTGCCACCTATCACAAATTTAAAAGGTACTGACTGATTATTATTGATTGACGACAAGGAAAAAACAACTTTCACAACAAGCTGAAATGTCTGAGAAGTACATGTACTGTACAGCTGTATGTACAGTGCTTTGAGAAGTAGTGCTTTGAGATATACAGACTAGTGCTTTTGACTATTTATTTCTAACATTGTAATATTGCATTTGTGTTAGGCCTTTGATGACATGAAGAATCACAGACAAAGGTACAATGCATGTATGCTGTCTAATATGGACCTCCATCATTTTAACTACTTTCTAGAGCTTATCCTAAATTTTTCCACTTTCTCTGGTACTCGTTCTCTTGACATTTACATTTAATTTGGCTGTATTAATTTCAATATTTAGTTTCTTTCTGACTGCATTTTATTGTATAATCATAAAACTTGGAATCTCTGGGCTGTTCACTCAGGAGCAAGCTAGCTTACCTGAATTCAATTTATCCAGTGATGATACATTGAATCAAAGTTAATGGCAATCAATTATTGAAATAACTATATCTATTGTTTTTAATAGACTAGCCTTTCATACCTGTCGATATGCTTGAATTACATAATTTTCCACATGAACCCAAGGCAAGTCTGTCAATAACAATGTTTAAATTCAAATTGGTTGCCATATTCCAATTTGGTGTATTCTCTCTCAAAATATTGGTTTCAATATAAAATAGTAAGGACCAAGATAATAGCATTCATATTCATCATCATCATCATCATAATAATAATAATAATAAATATTTTTATAGCGCCTATCCAAATCTGCTCTAGGTGCTTTAAACAAAAAGAAAAACCACAAACTGTGGTAGGCTGTGAAATTTGCTTGGCGCCTGTGGCTGCCGCTACACAACCCATACCACAGGAAAAAAAATAATAAATGATAAGAAAATAAAATAAATAAACACACACGCACAACTTATTATTATTATTATTATTTATTATTTCATTTGTCAATTTTAATTTTTTGGGGGGCCTTCTCAGACTACTGGCAATCCAAAATCACTCAAATTGTGAGTTAATTTTTAGTTGTTTGGCAGTATCATACATGTGCCGTACCACAGGGATCCCATCTGAACTCATAGATTATTAGTCTGATAAACCTGTTTGTTATGTTTAAGGGTTCAACAGTAATTGTGGTGTTATCCAACTTATTTTATTATAACTAAAACGTTTTACATACGTTGCTCCCCGCCATGTGGTCACACACCGCAATCACGTGACCACC